GTATAAAATGATGTAAAATAACAGAAAACAAGATGAAGTTCTGTTTTTCACAATAGATCTATTTTCTCTTTAATAAAACTTTAAAATATTGAGCTTTATAAAAACAAACGTATCAGAGTTTGAGCTTTAATTTAATGACAGAAACATAAAAAGAACAGAAATTAAGTTAAATTTAAAACCCAGTTTTCCTACAAAGTAAACATTAAAGTGCCACATTAAAAACTGTTTACATTTTAGGGGGAAAAATGCAGAAACTTTGTAACAAACATCTTAAAACTGACTGAAAACAGCTTCCCACACCATGTGACGTCAGGACTTTACATTACAGTAAGAATATTAATAATAAACATTTTATTTAGAGGTGCCTTTCTCAAATGAGGACACCTTACAAAATCAATGAAAATAAACTAAATAATAATAAAGTCCCTTGAATAAAGAAGAAAAAGTCATTACAGTGCTGTAGCTGTGGTTTCCACTGATGAACAGCAGAAAAACATGAAGCAGGACTGGTAGTGCTGGCAGTTTACTGGTTCAAGCCAAAAACTAGTTTTATTTTCRTTATATGAACTCCTGTTCATGTTCAGTATGATGGAGTATCAGGTCCACACGAGATCTTTTTTAAACTACAAGGATAAAATAAAAAAAAATACAACTTTATTCCCGTCATGTTATGACTTTAATGTTCTCGGGATGTTACGACAATTCTTAATAAAAAATAATCCTGTTGTGAGGTCCGAATACTTCGTTGTACCTCAGTGATGTACACAGATACTTTTGTTTTTTAGTTTCATTACTCTTTTTTTTTATAGAAATACTTTAGAACAGTGAAAAAAAACTACAACAGTCACCGGGGGTTACAGTAGTTTACATCAGTGGTTCCCAAACTTTTCATCTTCTGACCCACAAACTACCCATGGCAAAAACTTGTGACCCCAAATATTACTGGTCTGAGTACACGAACCTCTTTAATAACCCTAAAAACAAAGGTTACACGGATATAAATACTTATTTATACCTTTTTTATTTGTTTTTATAATAACTATAGGGAAAATATTACATCACCAATTATTTTATTACCCTTTAAACTGATTTCTGAAGTGCAGTGGTTCCCAAACTTTTCAGCTTTTGACCCACAAAA